GGAACGCAGCGCCATCACACAGTCACAGGGAGACGGACGGGAACTGTGCTCAGATACTGTGCAATTATACAGTTACTGAGAGACAGATGATGAATGCAGTGGTTTCTGATATCTTGGCCAAGTATATCATGAGTGTGATGTAGATGCCCATGCAGAAGGCTAGTTTTGGAACTATGGTCATGGAAGGGTCATTTCAATAATCTAGGACTCTGTAACACGTGTGACAGATACCTGGATCTTAACAATACTCAGAGCTTGGTTTTAGACAGTGCTGATGAATTTGTTTTCAATAAACAAATAGCAAATGTTTTTTTTAATTTTGTTTATGGGGTGCTATTTTTTTTACAGTGATTTCTGTCTCCGTCCTTGGCAAAGTAATGTAAATAATTCTTAATAGTCATTTTATTCATGTATTTTAATTAAAGAGGAAGTTGTCATTTAGTAATCAGCTTCAGACCTGCAGCTCCTCAGCCTTCCTGCTGCTTCTGTTGTCTTCAGCTGTGATAATGTCTGTCGGGTGATTAGAATGAGTGACTCAGATCAGGTGTACTTTCAATGGCAGACACGTATTCTAACACTGCTGAGACCATTTTGGATATTCAAATATGTGCCTGGCTTCAGCCTCTAAAGCTCATTCAGTTGTTTCTTAAAAGGAGATGGTATATCAGCTTCAATAACATGGCTGTGTTTTTAGTTCCAGACTCCCACAACCCTCTGAATAAAGAAATGCCTCCTGTTGTCAGATTGAAATGCACTTCCCTGTAGTTTCCACTGGTTCGTGTTTCACGGTTCATTCAAAGAAATTCACTGGGGTCACATTGTCAATGTCTTTGGGACTAAATTGCTTTGCACTTGGGTCTTTATTTGTGTGGCTTGTCCCTCCTTTAGGGCCCAGTGGTGACGGACAACAGCAACTTCATTTTGGACTGGAAGTTCGATCGGGAACACAACTGGAAGGAGGTGAACACGGCCATCAAGATGATTCCAGGTAGGGTCCCTTGGCCCCCTCTTGCAGTCCGGTTCACGGGAGAACAGGTCCAGATGTGACAAGGAGGTTAGGAGGTTCAACAGTTCTGTTCGGAAGCTGGCCACCCAATTCGGGGACCTTGCCCAGCTGCAGTTTGAGGAGTTCTGGCCATTGCCTTTCCTCAGAATGAGAACCGGGTTTAACACACTCTGGCCTGACACAGTCTGAGAAACTGGAAAGAAGAAACAACCCAGATGAGGCCATTCAGACCGTCTCGCTCAGTTTGTATTTAGTTGATCCGGGGATCTCACCCAGCTATTTCTTAAAAGAAGCCAGGATATCAGCTTCAACACTATCGCTTGGTAACTTGTTCCAGACTCACACAACTCCTTGTGTCAGTAAGTCACTTCACCCACATGGCCATGCTCTGTGTAAACTGAAATCCAGTTTAAATGTGATCCCTGGGTTTCTAAGAACAGGGCTAAAACAGAGGGGCCAGTCTTTTGTGTGTAATTGGGTCTCTGTTGGAGTTTTTCAGCAAGAGGGACTTTATACTGCTTTTCCTGTTCCATTCTTTCTCACTGCACAGTAGTATCCAGGCTATGCTCATAAGAACATTTAAAGGTGCCCAAAAGGAGGAGACCGTTGGCCCACTAGCTCATTTGATTCAAGAGGATAGTTATTATTCCACATCTCATCTCTCTTGGAAAGATTAGCAACTTCACAATTACATTTTCAAATACTATGGGACAAACTTTGTCAGCGAGTGGAACACTTCTGCCAAACACCCTGCGTGCAGGTCTGTGCTTTTGTCACAGACTGAGAGAGGCTCTCGATGCAGTATTCAGGTTGTATGCAATGCATCCTGTGTGCAGTCCTGGTTCTGGAGAGCTGGTATATCTGCAGTACGGGTTTTCACCCAACTGTGGTTTCTCCACTGGCCCTCCTGGGCCAGGACTGGTCTCTGGACAGGATTTATTCTGATATGGTTTTCTGTGAATGACATAAGAATGTATGTATGTGTTGCCTGTTGTAGTGTATTGTCAGCCAGTCCAGCTCTTCTTGAATTTGGAGTCTGTACTGGGGGGTGTGGCCCTGCGCTGCCACCCTGTGGCAGGGCTGATGTTTCCCTCTGCTGTGTTTCAGGCGTGGTGGAGACAGGGCTGTTCATTGGCATGGCAGCACGCGTGTATTTTGGAATGCAGGATGGCTCTGTGAAGATAAAAGACTCGCCGCACCACTAAGAGGCACACAGATGGCGCAGCACCTGCTGTCTCAGCCCACAGCTCACCTGAAGTGCCTATCTGGACCAGTCAGTCTGCCCTCCAGCTCCACATCGCCAGCGAACTTCTCAAGACCGGCTGTATGGCCTCCTCTTGTTTGGACTTGTTCTTATGGATGGGCGGTTGCCTTCTTTTTCTTCTTTTTCTTTGCAGCAGAGTCCTGGGAGATGTCTCGGGACAATATTTAGCACTCTGAAGTGGCCTTGTTCTCCACATTTCAGTGGTTGCCAGTTGGTGGTCTCTTAGCTGGTCTACCCAGTGCCTGCACTCTTCTATGAAGAGGAGGGGCATCTGTGGTCTGTGACCTGTGACCTCAGCTCCACAGGTTTAGCCTATGTCAGTTTTGCCTTAGTTTCCAGCTTATAGCTGGAACTCTCCAGTCTGGACATCCTGCCGCTGGCAAGAGTACAGAGGTGTGCCACTCAGGCCCCCCTCATTTTATATTGCTTGGGCACAGAGGTCCCTAATGTTCTTGAAATCTTGGTTCAGATGCACTTTTTGTTTTAATTCTTTTCACTATTCCCAAAGTTTCACATATGCACGTAAATCTGTATTTCTTCGTCTTTTGTGTGCCTTGTCGTAGTTTTAGACTGTAGTGATGAGACTGTCCCTTTGAGTGCTTCTCTACTTTTTTACACAGCTGCAGCTACTCCCAGCCAGTGCGATCTCTGTATGTGTGCAGTATAAAACACTTAACTTGTGCCTCCGGTTGATGTCCATGTCAGCACTGGCTGCAGCCCTTCAGAAAGTCTGTAGAAGACCAGATAAAGAATGCTTCTTAGTAACCTTACTATCATTTGCAGGCTAGGATTCGTGTATCTGCGACACGTTATCCTCAAGGTCACACGGATCTCTGTGTGGCAAAACAAAAGTTGTTCAAATGTTCTACAGCAGTGTAATTATATGGACTGTAATTTTCTATGTCCAAGGGGAGGAAGTTCCTTAAACCTGAAATCCAGTAAATTTTACCTTAAAAATAACTTGGTATATTAATGTTGTAACCCTTCTGTAAATAATTTGTTCTGGCCTGAAATCATTCCTTTTTTGTTGACTAATTCAATCCCCAAACAAACCTTGCACTGGAGCTAAAGGTTAAGGAAACCTGCCTGTACAAAATACCAAATGCATGTACTTTGAATGTATACTTGTACTGAATACTGTTTTATTGATGAAGCGATTATATGCTGTGCCTAATAGTGTTGTCCTTGTAGAGCACTGTGGGAGTGGCCTTGTCTTGAGTGCTCTGAAGTCTGGTTCACACAGCAGTGAGCAGACATTTCCTGATAAGACCAGCCTTCAGAGTCTGAGGTGTGAGGTGTGGTAGAGAGGAAGTCGTAGGGGTTGCACACAGACCTGGCAGCGTGTCCCTGAGCTTCAGTATTCTCCCATCCAGAACGGCAGTCATGCTGACAAGGACTGAACCAGCCCTGTATCAACCAGCATGCACAGCAGCAGAGTGTAATCAGCCTGCTGAGTAATGTTCAGAAGTATGCTTGAGCTTCACAGGTGCAAGAGCACATAGAACACAGCTCATTCTTATTCCTGGACATTTTTGGGCTGAAATCTGTAAATTGACTTGCTACCAGCATTCACAAAACTAGAAAATAAGCTTGTGGTTTGGATGGAGGCCTTTTCTTGCCACCTTGGTTTCGTAGTTGTCTCCACCTACAAAACCTGATGTTGCATGTCTCCAAGAGCATTTTCTCTCTGTCCCTGAATTCTCTCACTTCCTCTCAGGCCACAAGAGGACAGGGGGGTAAGATTACTTTGGGCGCATTGCCCTGGCAGCGCTGAACTGGCCTTGTTCTGGAAATCCTGATTGTTGTTCCGTGACAGCACTGGGAAATGGTTTCACCATATCAAGTTCACAGAAAGCTGGTTTGGGAAGCTGGTGGTTTAAATGGTTTTAAGTTTCAGACCATGAGTTTCGTTGTGTGCTGCCAGTTCAGCTTGCTGTGAAGTGTTAAATCTCTGCAGTGGGCTACAATAAAGGACTCTTAACTGTGCAAACCTTTGTCTTCAACTTTCTCTTGATTTTTGTTCTACATTTTCTACAAGTGAAAGTTTGGAGTGACTGACTTTAGCCAGGTTCTTTCCTTCGTGTGCGTACCCGTGTATATAACTGCAGAGCAACAAGTAAAGGTTTATTCCATGCTGAAAAGAGAAAAACAACATTTTGGCTATGGAGCCTTCTTCAGCCTTCTGCTCTGACGCACCTACCTATTTGCACTGTATATGAACTGTCCTGTCTTGTCTGACACGGTGTTGTTTGTGCGTTGGTGGAAGAGGTGATGATGAGGAGGGGGAATGGAAGCTCTTGCTGTGCCCGGCTGGCACTAGTGGGGGCAGTAAAGTCCACTGGTAAAATGTAGCTGCTAGATGGTTTTAAATGAAGAATCTCTTGGTATTATAGGATTATTTAAACTCACAGGGGAGAGGAAGTGCAGACAGACTCCACTGACCTGCCCACCTTTCAGTCACTTGTTTTATAACACAGGAAATGGTGCCCTGCTATGGGTTCACCTCTGACCAGAGGAAAGACACATCCCTGACCAACAGTGCCGCGTGTCTGCAAGCGCTTGGGTGTCCACAGGGGGCTCCGTGTTGCTGTGAGCCAGGATAACTCTGGATGACTAGTCTCACCCCAGCTTCAGCCAGGCTCACATCTACTTGGTCTGGCAGTGGTATGAGACGCTGGAAGCAATGAAACGTGAGTAGAGTAAAATAAGTAATTGCTAATGCTCTGCTCACTTCTCATTGGATTAAATTAATTAATGGCACCTCATGGCTGTGCAATGTAGGTTTGTTTCAACCTGACAGCGTTTCCTCTGGATGGAGTAAGAGCATGAGATACTTGCTCCTCCAACTTAACCTTCTGTCACCAGCAGAGGGTACTGCAGGGTAACTTTTTGACTGGAGCAGTGCCTCCTGTTATGTTTAATAAAACTAGACTGGAGAAGAGAAAGAACTACAGATGTTATTTCTAGACATCTAACTCATAATGCCTTCTTGCAAAAGTCAGCTAGCTAAATGTGGAAGAATCACTGTATGAAAAATTGAGTCTTTGGGTTTCCAGCAGTTTTTATGCTTTGCCAGCCCTGTGTATACCAGTGTGCAATTATGTTTGTTCGTGTTAGAGTGTATGGGGAGTGCTGAGTAGCTTGTTTCATGGGATATGCAACATTTACATTTACTTGGTCCAGCTGAGGCTAAGGTACTCTTGTCACAATCAAGATATTTAATATCTGGGATCAGTGCTACATCTCAGCGGGAGGTTAAGTTCCACTGCTGTATCGTAAGAGCTGTGCAGCTTGTACTTTGCTTGCCTGCATCGTCTCAGGATCTTCGATCCATTAATCCACTAGAGTGCACTGCTGAGCAGGGGATTCTAGACAAGTGCTTCGCAGATGTTTTGATGCAAGTGTGAGCCCTTCAGTGGGAAACCATACAGAGTGACCTGTAGGACTGTTGTCAATGGATACTAAGGCTTCAGTCCTGAAGTTCCCAGCAAACACATCTTCAGATATGCTAAACCTTAATTACTCACTTCTGAAAAGGGTCAAGCTTTTGCCTTTCCATTTGGTGGTGATTCTGGCAGCTCCAGCCTTGATCCCCAGTGTTTCCAGTGGGAAATCCTGCTCTCTGGGCGCACATAGCGCTCTCAGGAGGAACGAAGGAGAAAAGGTTCAGAGAAACTAAATCTGTTACTGGAGTAATGTCCTCATGACCTGTTTATTTTGTTTGATTTTATTTACCAGTGTGGACCAAGGTTGATTTCTGTGACCGTTACCTCCATACACTGACCAAAGAAATGGTTTCACCATGTACTGTAAACATTCGGGGAATTTGAATGTGGGACGTTTTCACTCATGGAATTGGTTTATGTTGTCTCCCCCAGTAGCCACCCATCCACTTTATGCAATACAGGGTCACGGGGGAGCTTATCTCTGCAAGAAACAGGCACAAGGCAGGATACAACCTGGATGGGACGCCAGTCCATTGCAGGGCTCACACATACACACTCACACCAGGGCCAATTTTCCCAGTGGCCAATTAACCTACCATGGGAAGAAACCAGAGCACCTGGTGGTAACCCACACTGCAACAAGCATCCCAGATCCAGAACTGAATCCAGAGCCCCTGCACTGCGGGATGCCCCACAATCCTGAATTGGAAGAAGCTGTTGGATGGATGGAAACATTTTTTACAGTAGGAAATCTCCATTATCGCCTGTGGGTTGCTCTTTTTTCTCGTCCAGTTGCAGATACACATCAAGAATGTCTTTAAAAAAACATTTCTCTTCTGCTGGCATTGAACTGAAGTGATAAAGGCTCTCAGAATTAGTGTCCTGTTTTCTCAAACAATTATAGCCTTTTTTTAGAAAACTAGTTAATCAGGGTACTTTTTTCTTTCTCTCATATATATGTAATTAGCAAAAGGAATGGAAGCGGCCTGTCCGATTGAACAGATAGTGTGAGGTTTTAAGTACTGCTGTTGTCCAGGTTTCATTCTGTGGTCTTCACATACGGTTATGCAGATAGATTTTATTACAGAAAATCCATTCTGAACTCAGAAAAGGCATGAGCAATTAATGAGCAATTACTAAATCAGCCTCTCAATTCTTTATAATTGGATGGTAAACCATCATCTTTCTTTACACTGTTACAAGAGTGTCTGTTAGGATACAATTGATTAGTTGTATTAGAGGGGCCAGCAGGGGGTGCTCACCCTGCGGTCTATGAGGGTCTTAATTCCCCAGTATAGTGACAGGGACACTGTGTTGTAAAAAGGTGCCGTCCTTTAAATGAGATATAAAATCAAGGTCCTGACTCTTTGTGGCTATTAAAAACCCAGGGCCTTTCTCGAAAAAGAGTAGAGGAGTTACCCTGGCTGTCATGGCCTCCTAATAATCCCCATCTATGAACTGGCTTCATCACTCTGTTCTCCCTCCCCACTGATAGCTGGTGTGTGGTGAGTGTAGTGGTGGACTATGGCTGCCGTTGCATCATCCAGGTGGGGCTACACATTGGTGGTGGTGGAGGGGAGTCCCCATTACCAGTATAGCGCTTTGAGTGGAGTATCCAGAAAAGCGCTCTGTAAGTGTAATTATTAATATACAAAGAAAATAACAGTAATTTACTTACACAGGTGAAAATAGGTACAGGAATAACTGTAGAACACTGACAGATTTTATCCATGGGCCTTTACACTGAATCTGGTATACTGTACATGGTTAACCCAGTTTTTGAATTCTTTAATATTTCTCTATAGATATACACTCTGCTGGACTTGTTCAACACTGCTCCACATTTGCCAAACCTTAATTAAGTACGATACTGCCACTGAGAAATGTTTAATAGACAAAATAAATTGTAAGTTCTTAAGGTGTAACAGTATAAAGAACAAGCTTAGGTTTCCTTGACTGGTTCTGCTGTTGTTTCATTCAGTTGAAAATAGTTTCTTGTCTCATTGTTTTAATCAGGTGCGCTCTCTCTAGCACTCACAGTGTGAGCCGTGAGCAGCCCGCAGAGAGCATTGACAGACTCTCTTGCTCTCAGCCCCACACAGCTGCCCCGCCGCCCTGGGGCTATTTTTTGCTGTGAAACTACAATATGAAGAGGTGAAACTCAAGCTGTCACATTGAGCATTTGCATAGACAGGATGGGATGTGCCTGCCCCACTCTCAGAATAGATCCCCCGATGTTTCAGGTCTCAGGGGGTTAATCTAACTCGGTTCACATCATGCCTGTCATTGCAGCTTCCTCATTATTTCATTTCTATTTTAAGACCATAGCATGCTCTCTTTTTTTTTAGCTCAGAATAATGTGGAGATCACATGGATTGTTTTAAAAGCCCAAAAATGTTATTAATATTCACATGGGCTTTTTTTCCCTGACTTGTGGAGATTATTAAGGTGGGAAACAAACGTTTTAAGAACAATAAGACTTCTGCTGTCTTCTAGAAGGCTCTGCTTATCAGAGACTTTTCCCCAGTGAGGATGCATCAGAGTCTGACTTTCCGATTTATCTAAATATTTTACACACTTTACCTTCTTAAACATTTCATTTTGAAACGGATGTTTTTTTTTTCTGTCAATGTGAAACATTTTGAACAATTGGTATTACAAGTTTCAGCAAGGAACTGTGTCATTATGTGCTAGTAACAAAGGATGAAGTAAAGATTGATTCTATGCTGGAAAGTATAAAGAAAGACAAAATTCAAAGTTTTCAGCTGTTAAGCCTTCTTCAGATGTAATGTATTTTTCAGTGTAGAATTTATCTTTACTTGTTATTTATTCCCATTAGAGCCAAAAACTGGAACAGTCTCTTTTATTGAGAGATTATGGTAGAGAAAAAGTCAAACATATTACTCCTATTCAAATTCTTATAGTCCCTGTGGAGTCTAGTACATCCCTGGCATCATGCTATAGACCTTCACATTGACTTGCTTCTCTTAACAGTGGGATAAGAGGAGCCTTTGTGGGTTACTATGATCACATACAGTAATCGTCTTTGGTATCCCTCCCCTTTTTGAACAGATTCAGGTCACCGCTCAGGCTGAACTCAGTCCATGTCCTCAGTCCTGGTCCGGACAAACAAGAGAGTCATTGTCACAGGACTTATGAACAGCCTGTTTGGTCCTCTACACTCATGAGTTCATTTATATTTACTCTCTAAGTCCCTTGGCTGTACTGGCAGTCTGTGAAGCTTTAGCAGGCTTGTCTTAACAGTGATAATGTAATTTATGTTAAACAAAATACTATATTCCTGTTAATCCCAACTACCTCAAACCCACACTAAAAATAAAATGTCATTCCCTGTTTTAGTTGTAAAATATATTGTTTTCATTGAAGAATTTATTTAATAATAATAATAATAATTGCTTACACTAATATAGCGCTTTTCTGGACACTCCACTCAAAGCGCTTTACAGGTAATGGAGACTCCCCTCCACCACCACCAATGTGCAGCATCCACCTGGATGATGCAATGGCGGCCATAGTGCGCCAG